TCATCGCAGTGCATGCGGGCACCACTCGATTAACACGCTGCCATTCTTCGTGAATAGAGTCAAACATGCGATTCTGAGCACGGAAATGGTATCCGCAACGACGGTCAGGTGATGACCCCTGCGTTGACTGGCCTCGATCAAGTACCACACTAATCTCTCCGTGATGTGAATCAAATCTGCGACTCACATCACGGAACAGGTTTCGGCGACGACGCTTGACCGTGGCTCACACCCCTTCTGCTCTCAGCCAAGACTTGGTCTCTAGTGTCGTTTCTTAGCATTAACAATAAATTTAGTTTGGGAAACAAAATTCACAATAAACTCATCTCTTTTTCAACACAACATGCCAATGCCGTCTTTCCGCCACTCTTTTCAAAGCCAACATTGCTGTGGGTTCAAGGCATGGTATTCTTACCTTAATAGGTGTGATTCTGTACCACTGCTTTGTAGTAACACTGTGATTACATTTGCCATTGCTTTTATAGTGCTTTGAGAGAGTGTAGTATCATGCAAAACAAACAGCAGTCTCTGTACAACATTGAGTTTCCGCATCAGGATCTTGTTCTGTTCTGCTTCACTGTACAAACCAACAATGGATTGTTTTAATTTAAATAGCTATCAAGATCACAATAAAGTCAAATCTGTGTTAGTGGCTACCTCTATAAAAACACCACCAGCCTATAGTAACCACTTTCAGGCAACCTAAAGCCATAACATATGAGAAACATGTGTACAAACACAACCTGCCTATAGTGACCACATTTCGATAGTTCTAAGAATAACATATGGGCAAATAAAACAAACATGCATTTAGTGAGCGAGTCTGTGAAAAGAACTGGCATACTCTTATATTACAGACCTTTATAAATGTTCAAAAATACTATTATTACGCAAAGACACTAACCTTGATTCGGTGAGCAATTCACAGAAATGTTCAAAGAGCGACTTCTGAAGCCCATACGGAGCATTGTGCCACACCTAAAGATAGAAATGAATAGTGTAAGATCACAAATACATTTAGAGCTAAATGAAGTAAATAATTTATTCCAGTCATACTTGTGTACACCATATAGGAGGCACACCACCCACAGCATCAACCGACGGCAAAATGTAACCAATATTTCAGTGGGCAGGCCAGGCAGACTTATCTCTGGCACCGGAATGGCTTTAATTGCTTTGCACTGAATGCAATTACCGTGATGCACATCAAAAAAATACAAATGTCCAAAGTAATTTGAGCAATTTTTGCCTTGAAAATCGATGCCCCCTCAACTCTGAAGTTTAAACCATAACAGAGCAACTTACAGTAATTACAACATTGATCAATAATGTGATCATTGGAAGAAAAAAACGGTTTCTGTGCTGATGCACCATTGAACACACTCTCAAGGCACACCTGGTGTCAAACCAGAAACAAATATATATTTTTTGGGAAATTAGTACATAATTCAAATAAATAATAACATAAAGGCAATAATTTTTTGCTGCGTTTTAATTAAACTATCGTTGCTGGTGAGTGAAACCCCCTAAGTCAAAATCATGTAAAAACATGCAACATTACTACTGGGTAATTGGTGAATTTTAAAGCCAGTGAATATATGCTCAAAATATTAAAACAATGAAATTAAATATCAGTGAAAATGAAAGTTTTACAGTACACATACCTCCATGTCACAGAGTAAATCTTCAAACGCTACAGCATTAGGTATAATAGTACTTTCTCTGCCACTGTCAACTGTACCAACCAACGAAAAGGTCAAGTGTAGTATGTGACTGTTTAACAAATGCTTTTTCTTCTTTAACAACATCGCCAATCTCTGTAATATCGGAAAAACAAATCGTTTTTAAAGTTATGTATGCAACGGAATCAAGTATTGCTTAATGAGTTTGCTGTACCCCAAAAAAAGCAAAACCGCCAACACTAAAATAAAATAAAAGAGAAATCTGCTAGCCAGTGGATGTTGACCATCATTAAATTAACTTGCCAAGTAAACTGATAGCCTATCTGACTGTTTTGTCTGTTACCTGATAACCTCGCGTTCGTTCCATTTCCTGAAGTGCTGGTCCATTATTCTTGACAACACAAACCAAAGCTTTAACCGCAGCATACAATCCTTCCACATCTGTTGCCATGGCAATTAACCCAAGTAACGCCGCTGACCCACCAACATTTTCAAGTGTACGAGCAACCGGTTTGGGACAGAATGTTCTGACACCTGTTATTGGAGAAGAAAAATACCACATGACAATGAATGATACCGTTCTCAGCTTTACGTCCCAGCATGGTGACTTATTACCATTACCACTCTGAACAATTCATGTTGGGTGGTAGCGCTTGATTGATGCTAAGAAAGCTGCTGAACAGAAATCTAGTAGAGACATTGAAATAAAGACAGTACGTGATGCTTCCAAGAAACACCAGAAACCTAGGAAACTACTTAAAGCGGGAGGGTCGTCACCTGCGCACGCGCGGGAATCGAGTCCCAAAGGACGATAACAACACACGCTAAAATCGCAAAGGCTCATGGGCAGGCGCTTGTTTGTAAACAATGAAATGCTATGGCCATCTGACACATACGCAGGTGACGACTCCCCCGCTTTAATTGACCAGGGCAAAACCAGTAAGCAATGTCAAACTTGACAGCAATAGTAGAACTGTATAGCTACATCTACATGTACACGTGAGTGGAGGTATCCTGGCCCTGCAAATGATTTGTAGTAACTTGTAACTTATTTACACATTAATGGTAGCTAATTTACATATTTATGACTAATTTACATATTAATGATAACAAACTTGTATATTATTGGTGGCTAATTTACATATGGATATTTTGCATATTGATGTTAACAAACTTGTATATTATCGATGACTAATTTACATATGTATGGATATTTTGCATATTGATGATACCAAACTGGTACATTATTGGTGGCTAATTTACATATTAAAAGTGGCTAAATTATAGATGGATATCACAATTCTTATGACAATAAATATCAGCATATCATAACTTGCTTTTATGACAACTCAAATATGACAGTACCACTCCATGGAGGTGTTTACAGTATACATTACTCATGCCTTGTGTATGCTTTTTCTCTTAGTGATGTCATACATTAATTAATATTATGTCTTACCAATATTGCCGAGTAATATTGCACCCAGTGTTCGGGCAGGACCATTCAGATGACCGCAGGAGTTGTGCAGAATCCTAATGGGCGTGGCATTTTCGCTCGTAGACAAGCCAAGCTGAAATAATCATTAACATATTTAGAGAGTACGGTTCAAGAAATAGGATATTAATATGACCACAAGCATAACTATGGTCACTGGGGTGGGAAAAAAAAAACAGTGAAATATTTCAATGAAATCTTGCAGTCCTCTTTGACTTGCTAAATTTATGAAAATGTACCGGATTGCACCGCATTAATAGTTATATCTCTTACCTGTTTAGCTACAGCTTTGCTGTCTACTTTATTGTAGACCTTTCGTATCTTAGCAACAGTCAGTAAAGATAGAGCATGAGCATGGATACCGAATAGTAATCTCTCTTCTGAAATCTGAGACAAACTTGTGTCACTTTTGAAGACTTTCAGACCTACAAATGAGAGAATGTTCACGAATGGTCAGCTTTGATATTTTCCACCAACTTTTCATCATTCAGTCTAGTCAGTTTTAGTTGCCAAAAGACCCGTCAGACTATATAAAAGAGTGATAAAAAAACACATCTAACATGTCTTTTCTTTGTATCAAATAAGTGCCATAATTTTTCCCGCCAAAATTTAGGTGCCACATTTTGCCAATTTTTAAGTATTTTTCTATAATTTTTTTGATCATTTTGGACCAGATGGGTGTAATTTCAGCTACAGGCCTTGATTATAAATATCACAGTGTAAAAATCAAATTTGAAATTTGTGATTTTTAAAGCAGCCAATCAGCTTGTTTACATCCAACAAAACTTTACCTTGGTGATGAGGAGCTTGGAAACTTCCAACATAGTTAGGTCCCAAGTGGTGTATAGCCATCACGATGGAGTTAGTAAAGACATCCTCAAAGAGATGAGCAGGACCCAGTCGCCATAGCAACCGTGATGGACAATGTTGAACTGGGGGTGTACCAACAAATGCATATATTGACTGGATGTTAGTGGGACTTGATGTTCCTCCACCCGGGTTGGCTTGTATGTAATGAAGCTGAATAAAAAAAAAGGATCACTGTTATTAAAGGTAGAAGCCTACTCAAAATTGTTGAGAAAAGTAAATCATGTGACAACCTTCATTGGTTTATGATGTGTAAGCACACAGTTATAACTCCATAGTAACAGAAAACAACAATAGTTTGTGTCTCACAATTTCATATTTTGAGAATTTTTTTTCAAAAATTGTTATTTTTAGAAGAAATCCAAAAAACACAAATTAAAAAGAGGTTCCATCGCTTTTTAAAACCCAGGCTTAACCAGACATGGAATATATATTGTATTTGCCAATTCCAATAATACAATCGGCAAATAAATAGTCATGTATTTTTTTACAGACTGAGCTCTGACTGTTTTCTTCTTTTATAAGTGATAATAATAATTGGGTGGCACATATCCCAAAAAATAAACTATAGTAAAAAGTAAACTATAGTAAAAAGGCAGGTTATTTTTGAATCTATGTTTAAGAGTCTACCGCAGCGCACATCTTTAAATCAAGTGACAAACTGTAAGAGATATAATAATTCTCGACATTATTGTGAAAACTTGAAAATGCACCTTTTGAGTTTTCATGAGATTTCCATTAAGAAAGACTGATACCGAGCTATTCTTCAACACAGCTCTGTTGAGCACTACAACAAGGTGATTCCATTGTCCTTCCTGGGCCAATTCAGGAATCCAAAACTTGGCAACAGATTCACTGTTAGATGGCGATGACAGCTCATCTGGACCTGTAACATGAATAATGTAACAATAATAGTATTACAATTTTTTCTCATACAGTATACAGCTTAATTCTTCACTGACTTTTCATATTCAATGATTAAATACTGTAAAACCATTTAGTTTTACTGGCATTTAATTTTACTATTTGGAATTTGGAGTATATTCACTGTGGTTTAAGTTCACAAATTTACCAGTGAAACCATGAGTTCTATTGTTATTTGACATGTTCCTTTCATTCACAACACAGTGAGTTAAATATTAGTGAATACCCATGCAACAACAAACTGGCTAAAATTAAATGTTAACATAATACAATACATCAATCTTCATCATTTTCACCCCTGACAGACTCTCCCGATCAATAGCAGAATTTTGATTGTTTGTGTGTGTGTGTGTGTGTGTTTGTGTGTTGGTGTAGACGTAGAAGTAGAGCCAGTAGACCAGACATACACAAACAAAGTGGAGCCCTTTGTACAAGTGGAGCCCCAAATTGGTGGCTCCACAATGTTTCATAATTTATATTAATATTTAATCGAATTTAAGTCAGGTTTGC